ATATACCTTTGACCAGTTGGGGTCAGCTATGCTGGCTGTATCCCCTCCCAGATTTTTATGCCCCTCAGCCTCCTCACTGGTGTGAGAAACTGAAAAGACCTTGATTTAGAGTTAGCACTGCTCAGCAACTACTAAAACATCCATGTGTTCTCAACATCTTTTTCAGCCTAAATTCAAAATACACAACTGTAGCAGCTACTAGGAAGAAAATTAATTCTATCCCAGCCAAAACCAGGACAATTTAAAAAGAAGTAGTATTTCAAAATTTATCTGAAAATATCTCTTTAATATTAAACACTCTCCGGTCAAACTATTACCAGGAACTGTTTCACCCCCTCCACAGAAAGGTTTAGTCACCACTGAACTAGCTTATTTCCTGTAAAACAGCATAGTTTATATTCAACTACTGAAAAGGAATTTGCTATAAACATCCTAATTGTAAGGAAGCCCACACTATTTAAAACAAACAAAAGAATAAAAAATCCAACCACCAAGCCCCCCACCCCCCAAAAGATCATAACAATAATTTGAACTGCATTTCCAAAACAACAAAAATTTACAAAGAGCACACATTGCAATCCACTATTGTTATACTAATAACAAAAATTGAGCATATTTTCTGAAGACAAACAAAATAAATTAAAAGAACTTGCTGTATATACATTTACCTATTATAAACAGGCTTCTGTGTTAACAATTCATGAAATAGTAAGACCTGACAGCATTTAAGTTGTTTACTGAAGATTCTGAAATCATGATTTATTTGCACTTACTTTACAAGTCAACATTTTCTCAAATTGCATATATAATACACTGTCATTTCCTTAGTATCTTTATCTCATTTTTTCTTGTGCCACATGAATGATGACATATAGGACACCACTGCTAATACATATGTACAGATTCCAAGCATAACAAAGAAACTTAATGTTATAAGTATTTTTCCTGAACAAAGTTTTCATGAACCACTGAAGTTAACTTTTCAAAGTTTCCCTATCTACGCACAATTGAATTCTTTCTGGGGGGGGAGGGTGGATGTGGGGTGTGATATGGTGTGACAGGGGATAACACAGCCAACACACAAAAAAACCCCACCCAACAATGAGATTAAACAGAACTGACGATGAGTTAACTTCCTTTGCTGCACCTGCCACAGGCTCATTCCCACCACTAAATTACATTTGTTTATTAAAAATGTAGTACATTACAGGTTCAGAAATCTAGTTAAGGAAACTGTTGCAGATAGATATGCTGTGTGGGTTGTGTTTGGGGTTTTTTTAATCCAAGAGAAAGCAACCTTCACACAGAGCAGTTTCAAATGCTACTTGATACTGGAGTTTCTTTACCCAAAATGAATACCAACATACAAAGAATTTCAGTGGTTTCTTAGTTCCATAAATAAGCAATTCTTAAATAAATAAAACAAAATTTAAAAAAGGACCCAACTTTTACTACAATGAATCTGCAACAGCAAACCCACAAGAGCTAACAACACTTGTAGAATTTAAGTTTTCTTTGAAAGGTAAGAAGTTAAAGAACACCTTTCACACATAAATTGTACATAAAAGATTAGGTCCGATAAGCTCTCCTCTCCTGACTTAAACTGCATCAAAACTTCTATAAGCCACATCACTAGTCAATATTATTGCAAATCCTGTACATCACACAGAAACAAGGGGGAGGAAATCTGTTCACTTTCCCTTCCTGTGCACCTGGGAAAGCTGTAAACATCAGAGACAGGCATTACTAATGCAAGTTCTTTCCTGGTAGTACTGCCACAATAATTAAATTATACATAAATTCAATGGGAAAAGATCTCTCAAAAACTATACACTTAAATTAGAAATCTTCTCCACAGATATATGATAAGAAACACGAACTGGCAAGATCCAGATCCAAGAGTGGAACAAGTGCAAACAGCTAGGATGGTCAGGGAAAGATTAAGCTTTCTAAGAGGAGAGTAGAAGGGGCTGGTTTGTTTAGCTAGCAAAACAAAGATCAAGAAGGGATGTAGTTTCTCAGTCTAGGGTCGTCAAAGAAGATTATAAAGTAAGAATGCTCAAAACATCAAGCAGTTAGGGAAAAAAATTGACAGCTCAAGACATGTCTTTTCATACAAAATATCAGAATATTGTGCAACAATTAATGGTTTGACAAGCCAGACAAGTCGAAACAAATTTTGGTGTGCTTTGGTTTTGTTTTTTCATTCCCCAACTGTAACAAGACTCAACATTTAACAATATTTAGAAAATTTTAGCTTATCAGCTTTGTGCAATAACTATTACCAGTAGTAGTACAGCATTTCTATTTCTAGACTGAAAAAAATTAAAATTGTTACTTTAATAATAGCTGAATTAAGGGAGTCAAAGAACTGTTGCATTGAAAAGCTTTTAAACATTGCATCAGAGTGTAGCAGTTCAAACATAGAAGTAGAAGCCCAATTTACATATATGCAAAGATAGTCTTGCATATTCAGTATATACATATTTAGATTCTTGCTGCTTTATAAGAAACAACAGGTATCATAAAAGACATTCCAGGGAGGAAGAAAGTACAGTGTACAAAGGAAGTGATACAAAGAACTCCTTAATGAAAGAGGAACAGTGAAAGGGCAGCATATATTGAGAATATATGAAAAACTATCATCGTAATACATAATAAAAAAAAGTTAAGCCGAGCCAAGTTAGCAAGGACAGCAATATTAAAATGTTTATGCTACAGATAATAACTACACATTTAGAGGGAGAGAACCTGAAAAAAGGTAAAACTCATGGGTTGAGATAAAGTGCATTGAGTCTGGCTGAGATGGAGTTCACTTTCCCCATAGCAGCCCTACAGTGCTGTGCTCTACATTGGGAGCTAAAAAGGTGTTGAGAACACACCAGTCTTTTAGCTACTGCTGAGCAGTGCTGGCACAGCATCAGCGCTGTCTCTCCAATGTTCCACCCTCCCCATCAGTAGGCTGGGAGTGGGCAGGATCTTGGGAGGGGACAGCCAGAACAGCTGGCCCAGACTGACCAAAGGGATATCCCATACCATATGATGTCAGCTCAGATATAAAAGCTAAGAAAAGAAGAAGGAAAGGGGGGCATTCATTATTTACAATGTTTGCCTTCCAGAGCAACCACTACCCATGCTGAAGCCCTGCTTCCCGGGAAGTGGCTGGACATCACTTGCTGATGGGAAGTAGAGAATAAAATATTTTCTGATTTTTTTCCCCTTTGCTTGTGCACAGGACCTTTGCTGTTGCTTTAATAAGCTGCCTTATCTCAACTTATGAGGGTTTTTTTTCATTTTATTTTCTCCCTTCTCTTTCCTCTAGATTGAAATACATTCTTGTCCCCTCAACAAAAATACCAGTTCTTCCATGGCTTAGCTATGTATATTCATGAGAATGTTGGAAAACAAAATAAAGGGAAAAATCTGTTCATGTGCAGTAATACACAGGCTCAGTAGCAATGCAAATATAAGTAACGCACCTCAGGATTCAGAAATTTAGTATGTACATTTCAATGTTTCATACCCCATACTACCGAATATTCTTTTTAACTTATATCTTTAGATTTATAAAATAATTTATATATGACTAATCCAATATATTTCTAAGAAGATGAGAGATAAATTTAGATGGATTAAAATTGCATTTTAAAGAAGGTCTAGGATATTAAATCCCTAGTTTTCTTTTTAAAAACATTCTATTAAATAGAACACTTTAAATACAGTTCTGTTTTATTTAGTCTATATTATGAAATCTTTAGTTAGAATGAAAATACTTTAAAAAGTTGCTTTAATTTCTTATATGTTGAATAGCATTGTACTGATATAATCACAGCACTATGATCAAAGTTGATTTCTGTAGCAGCACAAAGTACTCCAGTACAACTCATTCATTAGCTACTTTATAATTTAGGTGAGAAGTGGACTCTTATTTTAAAACAGCAAACATGGTATTATAAATGTAAGAAGCCTTGCCTCATAGCCAGTTTTAAGCTTTTACATTTTGCAATAAACTACTACTCTTGTTAGATACTACATGAAGCTCTGCTAGTTAT